TTCAAATCCATTCTCCTGAAAGTAGGAGTCGGTCTTGCTATACCAAGCTCGCGGGGCTTGCTTTAGGCCATATAAAACCTTCTTTAACCTGTAAACTTTGCTGTCAGCGCCACTAACAAAACCTTCAGGTTGAGAAACATACACCTCTTCATCTAGTTCTCCATTCAAAAAGGCGGATTTAACATCAAACTGGTACACAACTCAATTTAATTGTGCAGCCAAGGCTAGAAAGGTTCTTAATGTTTCAAAACGAGCAACTGGAAAAAAGGTTTCTTTGAAGTCAACACCTTGCTGCTAAGAGTACCCTTTCGCCACCAATCGAGCTTTGTGTTTCTATATAGTACCGTCAGCATGATACTTTGTTCTGTGCACCCACTTGAGCCCAATAATATTCTTGCCTTCCGGTAGATTGATAAACTCCCAAGTTTCATTTCTTTCAATAGCCGACATCTCTTCTTTCATTGCATCCTGCCGAACTTGACTTTCTGCAGCTTCATCATAACAAGTGGGGTTAGAAACATACAAAGCAAAGCTACATGAAGCATAAATATCTCTTAATGATTGGAATTTTCTGATTGGTGCATAAATTCTGGATCCTCTAAGCATATTTGCAAAACTAAAGAGATGTTCCTGGAATTGAAGGAAATGAAGATAGGAGAACACAAAATTTTAATGGGAAACAACACCTACACTGATGTACTTGGAACCGGAAAAGTGAAGATCTCTATAAATGAGAACACAAATTTAATCTTTAATGATGTATTGTATGCACCTAATTTTAGGAGAAATTTGTTGTTTGTACCTCTGTTAGATGAGAAGGATTTTGATATATGTTTCAGGGGAGGAAAAGTGACCATAGGAAAGCATAGTAGAGTTTTAATGTTTGGGAATAAGTCTGATGGATTGTATCGTTTGACTATCAATAAAGTTGATGCTCTTTCTAGTTATGATTGTGCTTATCATGTTAATGAAAATGCATACATATGGCACATGAGACTTTGTCACATAAACAAAGATAAAATGATGAGAATGAGCACCAATGGCTTAATTCCCAAGATAGAAATGAATTTCAATTATTGTGAACCATGCCTTAGTGGAAAAATGACTTGGCTCCCTTTTAAGAAAGGAAAGAAATCAGAGGAATTATTGACTATAATACACTCTGATGATTGTGGCCATTTGAACGTAAAAACACATAGGGGTATGGAATATTTTATAACTTTTATAGATGATTTCTCCAGATTTGGTTTTGTGTATCTAATTAAAAGAAAATCAGAAGTCTTAGAGAAATTTAAAGAATATAAAACACTTGTAGAAAACCAAATAAGTAGAAAAATAAAAACTCTTAGGAGTGATAGAGGTGGAGAATATATCTCTAACCTATTTAGTGACTTTTGTACACAAAATGAAATTATAAACCAATTAACCATGTCCTTCACACCACAACAAAATGGAGTGGCTGAACGGAGAAATAGGATTTTGTTGGACATGGTGAGATCAATGTTATCTCACTCAAGTTTAGAAACACACTTTTGGGGAGAGGCCTTAGGTACTGCTGTGTATATCCTAAATAAGGTTCCAACTAAAGTTAATAGCTTAACACCCCATGAAATGTGGACTGATAGAAAACCAGACCTAACTGACATCAAAATTTGGGGGGCTAGTGCCTATGTAAGAGTGCCAAATCAGCAAAGAAGCAAGTTAGATAACAAGAGTCTAAGGTGTACCTTTATAGGGTATAGTGATAATAGCAAAGGGTATAGGTTTGTTAATCATAATTTTGATGGAACCGTTGAATTAATAGAAAGCAAGGATGTTGTTTTTCTAGAAGATCAATTGAGGATAATAAACATTTACCTAGCTTATTTGAATTAAATAAAGAAATTATAGAAGTTGAGACTGCACCTGATAGACAAGTTTCACCTAATAATGACACCTTAGGTAGAATTCAAAGAGAAAGATTCCCTTCATCAAGATTAAAAGATTATTATACCTACTTGAATGAAGAGTCTCTTGATGATCCAATTGACTTTGAAGATTCTATGGATGCACCTGATAAAGAAAAGTGGTGTGAAACTATACAAGAAGAGCTAGACTCAATAAATAAAAATCAGATTTGAGAATTAGTTGATTTACCCAAGAATAGGAAACCTATAGGGTGTAAATGGATATTAAAGAGAAAACTCAATGCTGATGGGTCTATAGAAAATTATAAGGAAAGATTAGTAGCAAAAGGGTACACCAAAGTAGACGGGATTGATTATGAGGAGACTTACTCTCTAGTTGCCAAGTTTACCTCTATTAGAATCCTAATTTCCTTAATTGCTTTTTTGAACTTAAAGTTGTGCCAATTAGATGTCAATACTGTTTTTCTGAATGGAAAGCTGAATGAAGAAATATACATGACTCAATCCAAAGGTTATGTAATAGAGGGACAAGAAAATAAAGTATATAAATTAAAGAAATCATTATATGGTTTAAAACAGTTCTCTAGGATGTGGTACCATACCTTCCATGAAGCAATCTCAAAACTTGGATTTATACCTAATCCGTTTGATCATTGTGTTTACTCTTTGAATAGTGAGAGCAGTTTTGTTGTTCTTTCATTATATGTAGATGATATTCTTATTACTGAAAATGATGTGTCTATGATTAATGAAACCAAAGATTGGTTAAAAACCAACTTTGAAATGAAGGACATGGGTGATGCAAGTTATGTACTTGGAATTAAAATAGAAAGAGATAGGAACACTAAAACCTTAACTCTTTCACAAGAGCATTACTTGGAAAAAATCCTAAGAAAATTCAATATGAAAGATTGTAATGGAGTTGAAACTCCAATTTGTAAAGGAACCAAATTAAGTAGAGATATGGCTCCCACTAATGATGAAGAAATAGATAAAATGAAGTATAGACCCTATGCTCAAGCTATTGGTAGGTTGATGTATGTCATGCTTTGCACAAGACCAGATATCTCATATGCAGTAGGTCTTGTTAGTAGGTACCAAAGTCACCCAGGTAAAATACATTGGAAGACTGTTAAAAGAATATTTAGATATTTGCAGTTAACAAAACACTTCAAATTAACCTATCATGAAAACGATTTAGAGTTACTGGGTTATTGTGATGCAGATTTTGCAGGTGACCCGGATGATAGAAAATCCACAATCGGGTACTTATTCCTCTTAGGAGGAGGTGTTGTCTCATGGACAAGCAAGAAACAAATTTGTGTAGCTAAATTCACCATGGAAGCTGAGTTTATCTCTTGTAGCTCTGCGACATCTGAAGCAGTTTGGATTAGGAGATTTTTGGAAGAACTCCGAATTCCTGATGTGCCAATAGGAGTTGTGAAGATCTTCAATGACAACCAAGCTGCCATTAAGACAATTAAAAATGGTGAGATCGACCCTAAAGGGAAACACATAGATCTCCATTACTAGTATTTATATGATGTCTACCAACGGAATGAGATTCTGGTAGAATATGTGCCTACAAAAGATATGATTGCTGACCCCTTGACTAAACCCATTGCAATTACAGATTATGTAAGTCACGTTAAAGCAATGGGGTTGGTTGACACTTATTCATCTCAGGCCTAACTGGCCAAGTGGGAGATGATGGTAGAGTGGCCATAGGCCCTCGTTTAATCCTCAACATGTTGGAATATCCAATGGCCATGTGACAAGCCACATGTTGATGGAAGATGATTATTTTATGGTTATCTCCATGCAACACTTTCACACACAATCATTCATTTTAAATTATTACCTATTTATTTATTTTCTATAAAAACAAATTTATTTGATTGTTTATTTGAAAACATTTTTATGCATGGAGATACCAATATTGTTGGATTATTCGGATCCATATTTCAGGTCTTATTGGGTCAATGGATATCCATTTGACATAGTGTAGACTAGATGACCAAATGGTTAGATCCTTGGTCAACATGAGTCACCTGTCTCAAATCTGATGGAGCATGAATTTTACTATTGAGGAACACTTATCTCAATTGGTTATTTTGGTAACTATTTGTTCCTAGTGTCAAGGAACTTAACGTTGGAGAAGCAACTATATAAGGGATCACTCCCAAGTGCTTCTCACACACGACATAAGTTCTTTACTGAGAAGGGAAAATATCCTCTCAGCTTCGGCTCTAATTAGATTAAGCAGTTCTCTCTTACACTTTCTTCGAGAGGTTGGTGTCTTGGATCCTATACGCAGCTGCTATTATTCTCTCTTTGCATGCAGGTTTGATACATGAAGATCTCAGTCATTTGCCTCTGCATGTACTTGGAGCATCAATATATATATCATATATGTCGATTTGATTTATAAACAATTATAAACTTTATCAAATTCCATTTCTCTTCTTCTATGGTTAGTAGATCATTGATGACATTTACTAAAGAAGATGCATCTCCTAGTCAATGGAGATATTAGAAAAAGTTTGCAACAATGAAACTAATGCAAAAAAGTCACCTAGACTTGAAATCCAACCACTCTCTTTGCTTCATTAATCCCCCCTAATCATATATTCTAGCTGCAATATATACTTTATTCTTTCTTTAAAGTATCCAAACTGTGAGCAATAGGCTAAGGGCTTTCATTTGATTCAAACTAAGCATCCAACACTAGGAAATAGATGATAATTCTCTTGCACCCAACAATAAATTACTTTCAATTAAATCAAATGAAAATTCTAATTTGCTTCGCCTTGTGTTCCTATTTGACGAATGACAATAATTTCAACTTGCTTTACTTTAAATGAAAAGAAAAAATAAAATAGTAGAAGTGAATCACTCATTGAATTCAAGTAAAAACATAACCTTGTAAACATGGCATTTATGTAAAAATGCAATTCATCACTAAGTTTACATAATTGAATTAGTATCAATCTGTTGATCAGCTGAATTTAAGGCCATACAAATTATGAAATTCATGTGCTTACTTTTGGAATGTTTATATGTTATAATTTTTGCAAGTGTCACTATGACATAGAAGGCATTTTAACTCCTATTTTACAACATATCCATAACACATTACATTCGAAAATCAAATTTACCAAAACATAGGTGTCAATTCATGCACCTAAATACTAGTAATTAGTTCTTACACCTAAATACTAATTCATGTACATATACAAGACAAATACAAACACAATCATAAAATTAATTGACAAAATCTGCATAGTTTTGAGTCATTTGGTAAATAACTACTGAGAAGGCTTCAGAGCCTTCAATCCTTTAACAACCAACTTCTCTAGTTTTTCAATGTGGTTTTCTAGATTTATTACATTGTTCCTCATTGACTTGGCTTCATCTCAAGTAACTATAGGAATTGTCCATTTAAAAATTTGCAATACTTCTCCTCCTCGATGTCATTTCCCTACACATATGCAAATGTAAGTCAATACATCTAATAATCATACTTGTCATCACAAACACACAATCTATGAAGTTACAGTAATACTTATAGGTTTTCTAGGGTTGGGTATAAACCAACCTTAAAGGATTAACAGTTATCTCTGACTCATGAATTATACATTTTTGCACACTTGCAATATCTTACATTATACTTTAGATTCTTTTAAAATCTAGTCTCACATGTGGAGTGAGAACACATTCTTATATTAATAAATAAAAAAAGAGATAAAATTTAAATCATATTTAGAATCAATTGTAGGACATGGCCGAATGATGTCATATAATTGTGGTTCCAAAGGTTTAGTGTTGTTGGAACGAGTGAGCATAGGCTCACATTTTGAAATTCTCAATATGTAGGATAATCCACTGGCCATCATTGATGGAGAAGTTTGTTAATATCATTCTTGTGAACATACTACAATACAGACTATTTATATTTTTTATTTTCTAGTTAAAAAAATAAAATATGTTTTCTCTGAACTATATTTGACATGTTCACAAGGTGGTTATTAGATTTAATCGAGTTGGATCCATTTAACCTTTGACTAAGTCAACGACATGATGTTTTAGCTTAAAATGAGTTGAGTGTTCGGGTTATAGAACCATGATCATGGGCAAAACAGGTCAATGTTTATGATGTTATGTTTGCCAACAGTTCAATATTCTTACTTCTTAAGAGAGACATTGTGGTAAAAATGTATGAAAGGTAGAGTAGAGATCACACATACATATACAATTTTTTCTATTTATCGGAAGGCTATCAAAAATCTCTAAGAATTCAACTTAATTCAGATTGTTCTCCTTTGCAAATTCAAAGTTAGGCTCAAGTGTTAAAGGAACCATAAAGAGTTATGTACATCTTATTTATATGCAATATCTGAATTTGTTTGTATTTTATTTCTATTAAGATCCTGTATTTTCATTGGTATCAAAGCTATGATATATATGGTGTACATGTGCATGTGCTACACTATATCAACTCTCTAAAGTAAAAAGATCAAGAATTCATGTATTAGTATCGGGTATCATTTCGGACAACTTGGATATGGATACAGATCCTGATACACTTTGGAAATGCATGGATATGATAGGAAAATATATACAAATTTCATAAATATATTAATAATATTAAATTAAAGGGGAAATAACAACAAATAATGCATAAATATATATACTATATTTTAATGATGTATATAAAAGAATATATTACTATTAATATAATAAGATGCATAGACACCAAACAATTTTATTGATAATGTATCAATCAAGAATCCAAAGTTTGGGTTTAACTAGATATACTACAATTTCTATGGTAGATCTGTTTGGCAAACTCAAAGTTGTCTTCACAGAAGACAATGAAGCTTGAACCAGATTTAGCGCGACCTCTACCGTGGATCTATTTTATGAACCCAGATCTATCTTCATAGAGGAAAACGATAAATATTTGAATCAAACCTAGTGCGACCTTTGCCCTGGATCTAGGCAAACTCAGATCTGTCTTCACAAGATTTGAGCCAGATCTAGTGTGATCTCTTCAGTAGATCTGTGTTTGGGAACTCAGATCTAGTGCGATCTCTTCAAACAATGAACACAGCTCAGGGAACTCAGATCTGTCACTTGCTCTGCCATGGCGGAAAGAACAGACATACAAAGAGGAGGAGAAGAAGAAGAAAAAGAAGAAAGAAAGAAAGAAAAACAGAGGTCGACACTGAGAAGGGAGAAGAGAGAGAGAGAATCACTAGTCACCGACATTGAGAACAACAACCAGAACTTTCTCCCCTCAACCTAGTCATTCGCAGAATACTCTCCACCCTAGTCCTAACCCCTTCGACCCTTCTCTCGACTCAACCGACCCTAACCCTTTACAACCCAATGAGTACCCTCGACCCAACTCCACCTTGACTCTAATGGGTGATTCGACCCATAATGACCCTCATCTTAATGGGTGGGTATGGGTGGATTTTTAAGCGGGTGGGTTGGGTGGGTCATAGAAGCATTTTCAAATCATTTTCGGATTCATTTGTCATCCCTTGACATTAAAGGAATCCATTTTTTTTTATTTGAAGAGTTATAGTGATAAAATCATGCAAAGGTTTGAGATCTCTATTACAAACATCGATCTATACAAGGTTTCAACCCTTGGAAGAACATTTGGGTAATATTTAATAAGATTTTTTTTCAGAATTAATCACTTAAGTGTTTGAGGAAGACTATGTTAATCTAAACCAAAGGACTGGTTGTTTTGACTACTTAGTACAATTGTGATATCTTTACAAAAATTTATTCTGTGCTATTGTGTGCTAAAAATTTATTTTGTTCTCCTGCAATTTTTTTTTAGTTTTACTAAAATTTACTACTTTGGGTTGAATATTAATTTTGTTCTTACTGTGCCATTTCTCAAGATAACTATTTTTTTTGTTCTTAAATAACTATTTATCATATGTCGTAGCTATATCTCATTTATTAAAATGTTTTCTTATAACTAGACTAAAAATACCTTCTTGCTCATAGAATTTTACTGTTACACTGTAGATTTTATTTTTGCTTAAAGGCTTTTGTTACTCATAGACATAATGGTTGGGCTTGCCATAAAAAATGAAGTAAGCAAAATTGAAAAACTTGTTTCTGAAAGGTAAATATAGTATATTAACAAAAGGAGATAGAAGTACAATCATCAACCCGAGGCATCCCTTGAAGATAGTGGTTACTAAGAAAAAAGGAAGATGGATGATTTTTAGCCAACTGGGATACCTCATGGGCAGCAGAGTTATAACGCCTACTTATGCACATAAATTTAATAGAGTTCAAGTTCTGAATGAGGAGAAAAGATTGCAAAATCAGCCAATGGCTCGACCAAGGATATATAGTTCTTATGATCGTTGAACACTCTTATCAGATCTTGGGAGTCAACACAAACACAAATTTCATCAAAAGTCCAACTTCGAAGCTCAAACACAAATTTTATCAAAAGTCCAACTTCGAAGCTCTTTGAGCAAATAATTCAGCTTGAAAAACTGTCCAAATTTCAGAAGTACGACCTCCTAAAATCTTTAAACAAGATACATTGTTTGATAAGATGATGATGCCAAAAGTATATGATAGTGTGTGATATGGATATTCCTAGCTAGAAGATGACTTGGGCCCTAGTCGCGTGGCGAGCTGGACCAAGCTGCAAAATAAAGGATTAGAGAACCCGGGGTGGCTAACCCGGCGAGGCCGCTCTGATGCTTAAGTCAGTATTGTATTGTGGATGCGAGTTGAATACTTGAATGCTAGAGTGCTAGTGAGCAAATAATTACACGTACCTTTGCTTTGAGGATCGATGCCCTTATATAGCTGAGTAGTCATGAATCTTATGAAAAAGGTTTGGGATCTCTGGGTTGTATAGATAAGATCCGTTCCATTTCCGAAGGAGAGCAATGTGCCAGTTGATAAGGTTTATCAATTCCCTCCGATTCGGGTGGAGTGAGGATGAGCCTTGTTAATAAACGTCGTGATCCCAAGGAATACGGAGTCCGTTGGAGAAGCTTATGGAGTTGATTTCATGGCGCTTCGATTCTTTGGCCCCGAACTAAATTAGGTGCCAAGGTGCCTCTATGTTGAGATGACCGTATGCTGAGGTTCTCAAGATCCTGAGCTCCCGGGCTGCTGGCGAGGCTCCCTTACTGAGTTGTCATCCTAGTAACTGACCGCGTCCACATGTACCTTGTTGCTAGGTCGGGCCAACTTACTCCTCATAAATTTCCCCCCACTCCTCGTGCCAAGGGTCGCAACCCCGATGCGAGGAGTTTACGGTCAGCACAAGCAGGTTGGCCCGACTTTTTGGTTCACCTCCCGATTTTTTTGGTCGAACCAACGTAACCCATGTGTCTCAGTGGAAAAAACCAGATCGGGTGTCGGGAACGCACGGACTAGATGTGGTTTATAAACTTTGTGGATGCCAAAAACTGCTCTCCACCGAAATTATTCCTCGAAGGGAGTGCGACCAGTTTTCACAAGAGTCGTAGGATCGCTTTGGTGGGTTTTTGCTTTTATTCTCCAATTCGCAAACTGAGGTCCACCCAGTTGCTGATGTACATCCCACAATGATGGACCCATCGGTGGTCATATTGATCACTCTGCTAATTGGCCTCTCCTCTGGCAATTGCCGAGGTGGCTGCTCATTCTGCCTACTAGTCTCAGGGACATTCCTCCTCTGGTCCCCTGACGATCCCCCTGTCGGTTTGCCTGCCCCCTCTCTTCTCGCAAGATGTAATTCTTTAGGTACCCGCGACAGATAAGTTTTTCAATCTCATCATGGAGATTTTTGCAATTTTAAGTATTGTGTCCATGATATCGGTGGAAATGGTAGTTGACATTCAGATTTCTTGTTGCCGGGTCTCCCCTTATTCTGGGAGGCCATTTGATGAAGGAGGATTCCTTAATAGCCATTAAGATCTCTCCTCGGTTAGCATTCAAGGGTGTATAATTTGTTCTCTCTACGGGCGGAGTCCTGGAACACCAACTTGACTTGTGCCCGTGCGAAGGGGACTTGCTTCTTCCTCTGCTCAGGGACTTGCTCTTCTTTCTTTCCTGCCCATCATTGCTCGTCCCTTCATTCTCTTTCTTCCTCTTTTCCACCGGTGGATTGTCAGTCTTCTGGTTAATCTCCTCCTCGGTACCGATGAACTAGTCTTCCAACTTAAGGAACTCGGTGATATCTTTTGGTTTGTTGGCTACCACATGCCACTTGAACTCTTTGTGAGTGATTCCTTTTTTTTCTACAGTGAGTCACACCGTTGGATCGAGGTTTGATATCTGCAGGCAAGTATCGTTGAAGCGCTTAATATAGCTTCTGATTGATTCTCCTTCCCTCTAAACCACATTCAGAAGGCTTTCATGTGACTTCGGGCATTTCTTGCTGGTAATGAAATGGCGCATGAACAGGTCGACAAACTGCGTCTAGCTTTTGATGGAGCTTGGCGCGAGGTTCCTATACCAGGTTCGGTCTACCCCCCTGAACGTGGTGGAGAAGGCCATACACATGCAGGATTCGTCAGCCCCGGCGAAGTGCATTTGACACTGGAAAGAATCCACGTGATCGTTGGTGTCAAACGACTCGTCATACTTATCTAATGGGGGTACCTTGAAGTCTTTCGGCATTGGGGTTGCTAGGAGCTCGAGAGACAGGGGAGATGACCGGCTAAGCAAGGGAGGTGCAGTCTTCATTGTCACCGAGCTCACTTCTTCCCTTTCTTTAGCTTGCTCTACTTGTTGACTTGGCTTCGCTGGCAGACTATTTTTGGCCGAGGAGAAACACATCTTGCGGCGTCGCCATTGTTGCTTCTTCACCGGCTCAATGTTGGTGCTACTGACCTTGGTCTGATCTGGTATCTCGACATCATTATGGACATTGTCGTGATGTGGATCTTGGTTCCTTCTTGCCAAATTCTCCTGGAGTTCGCACCGGCTATCACGAGGCATTGAAGGGTTTGGCCTCGAGTTCGCACCTCGAGCTTTGGGCTGGTTGTTATCTCCTCGCGATTCGTTGTTTTCCTGCTGGGAGTGTTGTGGCGGGTTGGCCCTGTTGAGCTGACTATCCTTGGGCGTATTTCTAAAATTTCCTTGTGAGACTGGAGGGGTGTGCTGACCGTCTCTCCTCCCACGAGGTGAAGCCTGACCCCTGGGAGGGACCGGCACCTACAAGGTCCCCTCACCCCGATGGGGGGATCGGTGGACATCCTGACTAGTTCCACGCCGGTTCTGGTTCTGGTCCTGGCGCAACCCTGGGTGCCTGGGTGGAACTGGCTACTGGTTCGGCTCAGTGGTGGGAACTGCTGCTGATACTGCTGGTACATGTAGTACTGCTGATATTATTGAAGTTGTTGGACCTGTTGCATCTGGATCTGTATCGTTTGGATGCATTGGACGAAGTTATGGAATTAGGAGTACTCAATTCCAGGGGGGACCACGAATGGCTCAGAGAAAGTTACTTCCACTAGGGGAAGCGGGACGCTCACTTGCATGGTGCCCTGTGGTACGGATAGTAACGGGACCCCTGAAGCCGTGAGGGGAATAGTAAACTGGTCGATGCATATCGTGGGGCCTTGGGGGAAGGTTGATTGCTGATCTTGCACCTCGGTGATGTTCATCTCAATGCTTTTCCCAGTGTTGCTGGAAGAATCCATTTAGATAGATCGAAAGCTAAAATTTCAACCGAGATTGTGATGACCTTTTGATCGGTTCCCATAGACGACGCCAATTGATAATGAACGATCTGGATATTCGTAGCTGGAAGATGACCTGGGCCCTAGTCACGTGGCGAGCTGGAACAAGATGCAAAATAAAGGATTAGAGAACCTGGGGTGGCTAACCCGACGAGGCCGCTACGATGCTTAAGTCAGTACTATATTGTAGATGCAAGCTGAATACTTGAATGCTAGAGTGCTAGTAAGCAAATAATCGCGCGTACCTTCGCTTTGAGGATTGATGCCCTTATATAGCTGAGTAGTCATGAATCTTACGAAAAAGCTCCGGGATCTCTGGGCTGTATAGGTAAGATCCGTTCTGTTTCCGAAAGAGAGCTATGTGCCAGTTGATAAGGTTTATCAATTCCCTCCGATTTGGGCGGAGTGAAGATGAGCCTTGTTAATAAACATCATGATCCCGGGGAATTCGGAGTACGTTAGAGAAGCTTCTGGAGTCGATTTCGTGGCGCTTCGGTTCTTTAGCCCCAAACTAACACTTCAGCTCTTTGGCCCCGAACTAAATTAGGTGCCGATGTGCCTTTATGCCAAGGTGCTCAAGCTCCCGAGCAACCGGGATGTTGGCGAGGCTCCCTTGCTGAGTTGTCATCCTAGTGACTGACCGCGTCCACGTGTACCTCGGTTGCTAGGTCGGGCCAACTTACTCCTCATCAGTATATAATGAATCCGAAATCTTTCCTGCATCAGTGAACACAATAAAGTTAATTTGGAGACTCAAGGTTATATCCAAGATATTCTGATCGTGAAGATTAAGAGGAGGGGGGAATGACCATGGTTTTGATGAATCAAAAGATTAAAATGGGACTTTACAGTTTTGACCACTTTAGTCAAAGAGGGTAATTTATTCTGAAAGACCTGTTCATTTCTAGCCCGCCAAATATACTTAAAGGTAGCCAACCTAGAATTTGTAAGAAAGTATTGTGGTCATCAATGAGGTCATACAGAAACTTGAAACCCACGGGAAAATTACCCTTAAATAAGATGTGAAAATGGAAATTCTAATGGTTTGAAAATAAGACTGATTGGGCAAAATTGCAATTAATAAGTAAATGGTGAAGATCCTCAATTTCAGAACTGCAAAAAGCACACAAATTCTGGTCATTTTGAAGATGATAATTTCCTTTGACTGAGAAAATTTTTTACGATACGCAAAAGAAATAATTGGTAATGGGAGGGAATGGGCAGCTTCCACATATGCTTAAGGCTAAAATTGAGGTCTGAGTTTAGAGAGGGAAGAGAAGCTTGCAACCTCTTTCTGTAATTTAACTTGACTGAGAATTTCGCTGAGCTATGGTGCACCCAGACCCAAGAGGTGTTATTGATGGAGGGATAGATGGGGGTTCTGAGAATTTTCTCCATTTCAGAGTTGGGAAAGGAAACCTGAATGATATCTGTATTCCACTGACCTTCTTGAATAAGATCTGCAATAGAGGCACAGCTAAGATGATGGAGCAAAGGCTGGGAAGGCCAGGCAAACTGGCTCTAAGACTGAATCCAGGGGCTTTGGTAAAGAGGAAAGGAAGAATCCTCATGAACCAGATGGACAAATTCTAGAGCTAAGATCCTTAAATGGGGACCAATAGCTTTCCAGTATAAGGAACTTGAGGTAGGAATAGAGTAGGGAAAGTTTTCATTTTTCGTTAGGTATTTGGCTTTCCAGCACCTAGCCCAAAGTCTGTCTTTTTCATTAAGGAACCGCCAAGCCACTTTCTTTAGGAGACTCTGGTTCATCAAACTTAGATTCTTGAAGCCCAAGCCTCTGTGAGATTTTGGTAAAGAAAGGGTATCCCAAGAGCACCATCTTAACGGGTGTTTATTTTTATCTGAGATGCCCCACCAGAAATTACAAATAGTTTTCTCAATAGAAGTAGTGGTTTTATTGGGAAAATTGATGAGACTGGCATGAAGGGGCACGGATTGGAGGGCAGATTGGATGAGCACCGCCTTGCCAGCCTGGTTGATTGTCAAGGTTTTCCATCTACTGAGTTTAGCATGTAAATTTTCCGAAACATAATTTAGACTATCATGTCTATTTCTTGCCCAAAACAGAGGAAGGCCAAGATATTTAGAATTATGGTTCAAGGGTTTGATTTTTAAGTGCCTACTAATCATCCGCTGGAGCCTTGGGTGGATATTTTTGCTACAAAAGATTCCTGATTTGCCAAAGTTAATGGTTTGGCCTGAAACTTCTTGGAAGGAATTAAGGACTTGCTTTAGATTATCCAGATCAGTTCTATGAGCTCTGAGGAAAAGCATAATGCCATCGGCAAAAGAAAGGTGGGAAATTTTGGGAGCAAAGGCCGAGAGAGAAATGCCTTGGATTTTTCCCTCCTATTCAGCTTTAAATAGAAGCCTAGAGATTGCTTCCATGCCAATAATGAAAAGGTAGGGAGAAAGAGGCTCTCCTTGATGGAGACCCCGAGAAGGCTTGAAATTCCCCTTAGCAAACCCATTTATTAACATAGAGTAAGAGATAGTTGAAATGCATTCCTTAATGATATCACAAAAAGAGTCGAGACAAAACTTTGAGAAGGAAGTTCCATTCTAGCCTATCATAAGCCTTGGACATGTCTAACTTGATAGCTAAGTGGCTAGTCCCTTTTCTTTTATGTCTCAGGCTGAGTTAGAATGGAATTATCAGCCATTTGCCTCCCTGGAACAAAAGCCACTTGGTTGGGGGCAATAAACTTGCCAAGGATCAGGCGGATACGATTAGTTAACACCTTTGCTATGACTTTACAGGTAACAATGCAAAGATCGATTGGTCGGAAATCCTGAACTTTGGTGCAGTCCACCTTCTTTGGGATGAGGCAGATGAAGATGTGATTCAATATTTTAAGCAGTTTTTTAATCTAAAAGAATTCTTGGACAAGAGAGACTAGATCCGGCCCCATCTAATCCCATAATTGTTTAAAAAACAAAGCGGGCATCCCATCCGGACCCGGGGCTTTAAGACTCCCTGTGGAAAAAGGAGCTAATTTTACTTCCTCAAGGGAAGGAGGACGAAGGAGCATATTGTTCTCTTGCTCAGAAATGACAGGGGTGATAATTTCAGACAACTTAGCTAAATTAGAGGGATTCTGAGAAGAATACAGGGATTCAAAGTAATCCAGAAAAAATGAAGTGATGTTTTCATGGGAGATTTGTCAAGTGTTTTGATCATCTTTGATGCCTTCATTGGAGTTCCGTTTCCTTCTAAACGGGGTGCTTTTGTGGAAGAAGTTGGTATTCCTGTCTCCTAAGTCTGTCTGGATTTCTATCTCCAAAGGCTCTCTAATTGATGAGTGGTTTTATCATAATCCAAGTAAAGCTGATCCAAAAGATGGGATGAATTTAGTTGTTCAGCTTTAACAATTTTTGCTTCTAGAAGCTTGAGTTTTGCTTGATGTTGAACAAAAACTTTGTTTTTCCAGAGGATGGAATCTTTTTTCACAGCTTCTAATTTCTTAGAAAACTTAAAGGCTGCAAAACCCGAGGGATTGGAATTCCAAGACTCTGAGATAATTTGATGACATGAGGGTTCTGGCAGCCACATTTCAAAGAACCTAAAAGATTTAGGTAAATTCTACGAGTTATGAAACCCTTAGCACGTTTATTTGACCAGGAAACACCTCCCCCTCGAATATTTAATTCTAACAAGTTAAGCTTATAAATGAAATTCCTATATTCACGAGAGGTCAACTTAAATAACCGGTTGGAAGAAAGATCATTAACATTAAAAAAGGCAAGGAAACTGTACATAACCAGGAATTTGAATCCCTCCATAAAAAATTTCTGTGATGTTTCACTAGAGGGCCATACAAAAGTCCTAACAGCCTGGAACCTTTAGAAGATTGAATGAGGAGAAAAACATACCTATCAGAAGCTCTATACACAGAAACACAAAAACCTGATTTCCAAAGAACGGCTATACCTCCTGCGTATCGTTCAGGGGAGATGACATGAGAGTTCGGATATCTTAAAGAATTGGAGAGAATAAAAATATCATTGTCAGGGGCTTTTGTCTCACAGTAGGATTAAAATGGTGGACAAAATCCTTGAATCCTTGAACTGCCTTGAGGAGGTTGGCCCCACGACAGTTCCAAGGCTGATAACAGAAACAAGATGTCATGAACTAGAGCCAAATGCAGACTTACCGAGTCATTATCTTCCAAATCCCGGACAGAGCCTTAGAATTTATCTGATTCACATGAATAGTGTGCTCCTCTATTACAGCTAGGCAGTTGTCAGGTCTATCATAGGTTGGTATGTCAGGGGAAGAAGCAATTTCTAGATTTGCCAGTAAATCCAACTGGGGTCTTTTACCATGAGAGGAAGAGGGTTTCGCAGGATCATCTAGGACCCGGTTCAGGAGTAGTTGGGTGTCCTCAGTGAGGTGATAAGTGCTTGCTGACACACGGAGAGGCCCAACAGAAGAGGAAGGCATGGAAGGAACAGAAATCGTGGGAGCAGGTAAGGTAGCAAGAGTAAGGGCATGACTCAAAGGTTCCTGCTGATTGGAAGTACCCTGATTACGCTGAACAGGATGTTAAGGTGGTTGCATAGGGATGATCTTTTCCAAGAATGTCTCAGAGCCAGCTCTGCTCGAAGCCATGGCCCTGGATGAATCATGCTGCATCTACTGAAGTATTGGTCAAAAGACCTTCCTCCTGTTTGGGGTAAAGGTTGAGAACAACGACGAAACATGTGACCTATTTTTCCACAGATATAACAGGTCCAAGGCAGATCGTCATAACGGTAGGTGATCCAATTTGTGACACTGACAAAATAGCCTGTTTTAAGAGGCTGCAAAACTGAGAGGGTGACTTTTGTTCTGATAAAGTTTTGATTTACAGTGACAAATTTGGCTGGCCCTATACACTCAAAGAGAGGGGTAACTATGGCAACCGAGAGGAAAACCAAGGCTGCATGAGAATCCATTGACCATTGAGGGTCCAAAGCCCATTATTTAGAATTCTGTCATAATCTGCCCTATAGCGAAAGTTAAGATGAAAGTGACCCCTATGGAAAGGAGCTAGGAGTAAACTTTCATCATCAAGATTCCAAAGATCATACAACCCTTGAACAACTTCATCAAACTGATCGGTTAGACGCAGGAATAAACGACAGATTAAAGAGAGATGCCATTGTTGGTGGGCATCTGGAGGGATGAGATGCTGGATGTCAGCTACTTCAACCGGACCGTTGCCATGAAGCATTTGTTGGAAGGCATCGTTTAAAGCATCAATGAGACAGGAAAGGGAAAGGGAAAGGAGTGAGAGAGCAAAAGGAAAAGGGACACCAGAGAAGGAGAGGCTTAAGGAACCGGAAAAGACAAAACAACAGCTTCAAACTAAAAAGCAGAGAAAACGATAAGAGCAGAAGGATCTAAGAGAACTAGAAGATGGGGTGCTGGTTTTCCAGTTTAGTTACATTAAAATCCATAACAAAAACCAACTAAATGGAAAGAAACTAGTTATAACTCAAAGAGAAATAAAACAAGAGAAGTAACTCCTTGTTACAAATTATCGACAGCCATGCAGTTAATGCGCGATGTGTCCCACGTAAATCTGCAGCTAAACATCTGGCTTGCCCCTTAAATGGATTAGATTTTTGTGTAAGAAACTGGGTTCCCAACCTCATCAACATGAAAAAACTACATAATTCAACAACCGAAGCTTCTGAGAGGCTAACATGTTGGCCGCTTCTTACAGGCGGCCATTACTCACTGCCGTCTGTTTGAAGTTTTGCTTATCATCACCCTTCTTTTTGCTGCTTGTACCATTAATGATGAAACCCTATGTCTACTGTTCTGCTATACTGCTACTAACTTACCAAATCGTCGTTGAGACTTCACCTTGTCATGAAGCAAAATTGAAAAACTTAATGGCAACAACTTCCCTATCTAGAAACATAGAATTAGACTTATATTAGATCATACTAAAACAAGATATTCCCTCTATTATTGATAATGATGCACCACTGGTTATTAGAAAAACCTATCAAAAATACCTTAAAGATAATAAAATAGTATGTTTTTACTTGTTAACTTTCATGGAACTAGACATTGTCCTGAAAATATAAGAATGCTAAACGGTTATTTATTGTAGTTTTAAGGAAACTTATGGAGAAGTAAATGAATTATATAGTCAAATGTTAATAGAAAAATACTATGCTTAAAATGAAAAATAGACATTCAGTGATATATCATAGTAATAAGATGAATGTTATTGTAAAAATAACTAGTAGTCATTGACCTTGAAAAGATTCAAGTCTCTACTATATAACATAACCTTTTATATTCTTAGAAAAATATGATTATTGTTTTAAACATTTCTAAAAGAGGCACCAAATATGAAAAACCTACCTACTTGGTTGGCATGGAAGCTAAAAGAAAGAGGAAGAAAACTAAAGGAAAAAGCATCATAATAAACCTAATTTTTGAAGAAATTCAAGAAAACTAAAGGTAAGTTATTTATTTATTTAAGTACAAATATTATCAAATTAGAAAAAAAAAATAAAGATAATAATCATAAACAATCAATAAAGAACGATACCATTTATGTGGTTTTTAAATCTTTATTTATTGATATTTACTATATTGGTTGGTGCATTGATTCAAGATATTCTCGCCATGTATGCAAATCTAAGGAAATGTTTATAGAGATTAAAGAAATGAAGCCCAACAAATATAGGATATTCATGGGAAACAACACCTACTATGATGTATTAGGTGTTGAAAAAGTAAAAATAAGCATTAATGAAGATACAAATATGATCTTAACTAATATAATGTATGTCTAATATTAGGTGAAATCTTTTGTCTATACCCCTCTTGAATGAAAAGAGTTTTGAAATTATCAATAGAAAAATGGGGGAATCTTGTTGTTTTAGAATTAAGTTTGATGGTCTATATCATTTATTTATTAATATGTGAATGCCTATTCTACTTATTTTGATTGTGTGTATAATGTAGATGACAATGCTTGTATGTGGCACACAAGGCTTTGTCATATAAATAAATAAATAAATTATCAAGGTTCCTTCAAGTGGCTTGATATTTAAGATGGAGGTTAATTTTAAATGCTATGAATCATGTCTTAGTGGAAAGTTGTTTAGATTACCATTTAATAAAGGAAGAAAATCAGAAGAATTGTTAGATATTATATATTCAAATGTTTGTGGTTTACTAAATGTCAAGACTTATAAGGAAATGAAATATTTTGCAAAATGTATTGATTATAGCTCTAGATTTGGATATATTAATTTTATCAAAAGAAAATCTGAGGTATTAGAAAAAAAAATTAAAGAATACAAGTTAGAAGTAGAAAACCAATTAGGAAGAAAAATAAATAAATAAATAAATAAATATATATATATATATATATATATATATATATGTGATAGAGATGGTAAGTATATATATAATCTATTCAGTTATTTTTGTACACAAAATAAAATAAAACATCAACTATGATTTATATTCTATAATAGAATGGAGTTGCTAAGCGTAGGAATAAAACTCTACTTGACATGGTAAGGTCAATATTATCACACTCCAATCTAGGAACACATTTTTGGGGTGAAGCTTTAACTACAATAATTTATATTCTAAACAAAATAGCAACTGAAGTGAATAAATTAACTCTATGAAATATGGACTGATAAGAAACATGACCTATCTAATATTAAAATTTGGGATTTTAGTGCTTATGTTATAGTTCTTAGTCAATTAATAAATAAGTTAGATAATAAAAGTATAAAGACACCTTTATAGGATATTCAGAAAACAAATTTTACAAACTCATAAACTATAAATATAATGAGTCCATTGAATTCATAGAAAGTTGTGCTAATGTATTCTTATAGGGCTAAATAAAATATGAAAGTGAATTAATATCTTAAATCAATTATTTGAAATAGGAAAAGAAGATGTATAAAGAAAAACATATACAACAAATAAACCACCTAACAATAATATATTGAGAAAAAATCAAAGAGAAAGATTTCCCTCTACCAAATTGAAATATTATTACACATTCTTAAATGAAGATTTATACGATGATCCAATAAGATACTTGGATGCAATGGAAATACAATAAAGAAAAATGGAAAGAAGCCATAAGTAAATAACTAAATTTAATAAATAAAACCAAGTGTGGTAATTGGTAGATTCGTCTAATAATTAGTAGTAAATGGATCTTCAAAAAAATTAAAAGTATATGATTTCTATAGAAAAATACAATGCTAAGCTTGTAGCAAAGGGATATACACAAGGTAAAGGTATAAATAATGAAGAAGCTTACTCACATAGAGCAAGATTTACTTCCATTAGAATTTTAATGTTCTCAGTTGCACATTTTGACTTAAAGTTATGCTAAATGAACTTAAAAACATTTTTCTTAAATGAAAAGAAAAATGAAGAAATTCATATGATACAATCAGAAGGATACATAATAGAAGGATAAGAAAAGAAGGCATATAAATTGAGCAAATCTTCGTAAGAACTAAAACAATCCTCTAGGACGTGGTATCATACATTTCATAATTCTATCACAAAACTTGGATTTATTTTAAATTCATTTTATCAATGTGTTTACTCCATGAATAGTGGGAGTTCATTTATTATACTCTCTTTATATGTTTATGATATTCTAATAGCTAGTAATAATATGTTTATGATAAATAAAACAAAACATTGTTTAAGTACTAATTTTGAAATGAAAGATATGGGAGATATGTACTTGAAATAAAAAACTGAAAGAAATAGAAAATCTAAAACAATATCTCTTTTGCTAGAAAATTATTTAAAGATAATACTTGGAAGGTTTAACATTATAAATTGTAATGGAATTAATATTCCTACTTGAAAAGGAACTAAAATATCTAAGGACATGTCACCTACAAATGAAAGAGAATAAGTTACATAAAGAATGTCCCTTATGCATAAGCAGTTGATAGTTTAATGTATGCAATGTTATTTATAAGGCCTTATTTGTCTTATGTTTTTAAGTCTTGTTGGTAGAAGCTAGATCAATCATTGGATATTAACAATAAATCAAAGATTATAGACTAACATAGGCACCATTTGGTGTGTCTTTTTGCGTGGTCTTTCGATTGTTTACAAGTGGGGAAGACCGAAAATCGGTCTATTCCCGTTTGGCACGCGAAAGATCTAGTTGCCAAAAGGTGCGGCGCCAAAAAGACGCGAGAAGCCCATTTCGGGCTGATTTCGAGAAGCTCCAAATGAAGCTTTTCGCATCTTTCACGTGGAAAGACCCGAAAAGACACACGGAAAGATGCACACTTGCCAAACGGTCTTCAGTCTGCCCAGATCTTATGTCAAAAGCTCAATGTGTCTATTGATTGTCAGAGCTACAAGATCTTCTCAAAAAGACTTGCCAAACGGGCCCATAATCTTGTGATCACATAGAATTAATGGGTTAATGTGATGTTGATTTTGCAAGAGACCTAGATGACAGAAAATCTATTATTGAGTGTATCTTCCATGGGTTATTCATCAAATATAGCTCCACAGTTTTCCATGTGGGCCTGAGAAATCATTGTGTGAAAGCCCTTTTAAAAGGGCACTGAATAGTAATGGTGTTAGATAAGCCACCGGCAACTTTCATTTTTAAAATATTTAATATGCATGTTAAGCATCATAGCAAAAATCTTTCATGCATCCATTGTATTGTGCAACAAAATACATAATTGATTAAATGTGATAATAAATACATCTTGTTAAATGTGAAATTATACTTTGTAAAATGTGAACCAATGAAAATTAATTTAAACTATAACGTAATTGGTTGGGATTTGGATTTAACATGTATCCAATATTAGTAAATGCACCATAGTTGAACTCCAAACAACATTCTTTACCCAACTTTTTTTAACTTTTTTTAAGTAAGTGCATGTAGTTAAAGTTCATTCAACTTTCAACATAAGTTACATCTCCATAGTATGATACAATCTAGGAGATTTATGATGCAACAACCATGCACTTAATAATAAGAATACTTGGGAACACCAATCATGGATGATAAAGGAATTATTGCAGTTCTTATTCTCAAATGATGGAGTCCTAGACTTCTAATTAGTAGGGTTGCAACTTGTTTCAGCCTAAACCATCCCATCCTTCAATTTTGTACGATTTAGGCTTGGATTTTTTATCCTCAAGGTGGGTCTGTGTTTAAAACTTTGTTGGGATTTCTTATTTGTTTAGGCTAGGCCAAGGATTAGCCTTTCGATAACCTACATTCAGCCTATCATTATCCCAATCTTACTTCAACCTGATTGCAACTTAACTATACACATTAAATAAAATTTCAATATGGGCTAATTAACAAATCCAA